CCCAAAAACCCTATTCCAATTATTGAGGGCCCCCATATTACTCTTGAAACCCCAAGAGCCCGTACCCTGCAGCAAAAAGACCCCTTCAACCCCAAGACGTCCCAAGACCCGTAGACTGAAAACTGAGCCTCCATGTTTCTATGCTGACGCCCCATATGGTAGGCTCGGAATAACTGGAAATAAGATATCCGTTTTAAAGCCCCTGTACGATTAGTTATGTATACTATAGTATACCCATACACCCTACATGCTAAACCCTGAACCCGGCACAAACGCGTAAGCCTACACCCTAAGCCCTAAACCCCTAAACCCTACACCCTAAGCCCTAAACCCCTAAACCCTACACCCTAAGCCCTAAACCCTGAAGCCTGCACAAACGGTAAGCAGGAGCGAGGGCAGTTGGACGAGGCCGAGCCCCCGGTGCGCAAAGCCTTGAAGATCAGCCAGGACACTTCGGGTGAGGGCCGAAGGCATTAGGGTTCAATGTAAGGGGTTTAGGGTTGAAGGGTTGAGGCTCTTAAGGAAATCTCAGGGTTTAAGGATTTAGTGGTGTAGGGTGAGTTTGCAGTGAACAAAGCTGCTTGCTATCCACGTTCTGATCACCACATGGTTGCAAACAATACTCTCCTTGTCAGAACCACTGGCATGGAAGAATGGAGGAATTGGTGTTCAGGAGGTTTGTATAAGGGATCTGTAAGGTTTCTATAGTAGGTTGCAAGGGTTTGAGGCAGAAGCTTAAAGCGGGTGTTCTTGGTTCTTGTTTTTCCCCTGACAGGTGCGAGGGCTCGGGCACGAGGGTTGAAGGCAAGGCTTTGGCCTTTAGGGTGCACGGGTTGAGGGTTTAGGGTTTAGGGCTTGGGGCTTTGAGTTTAGGGTTCAAGGTTTAGGGTTTGGGGTTCAGGGTTCAAGGTTCAAGGTTGAGGGTTTAGGGTTTAGGGTTTCGGGCCCAGGGTCAATTCAGGACCTGGCGAAGCAAGTAAGCTGTAAACGGTTTGGCATTACCTGACTGGCTTCTCATCTCCAGCTTGAAACGTTTTTGGGGCCATGGGCGGGGCCGGCAACGAAAAGGGGATCTTTGAGAATAAGGAATGTCGGCTTAAGTATACCCGGACCTACCATCCAGTCAAAAGTGGCTTGGTTGTGTTTTTTGATTCGAGAAAACACGAATACGTATATTTTCAATTGCGCCGCGGACGAGCAGGATCCCTTTAACTCCTGTAACTTGGATACCCTCGAGGCTCCATAGTATACTACAGCCCCAGAAGCGCTGAGCCCCATGCCTCAAATCTTCAAGGTTCCGATTGAAGCTCCAGCCTATGCGAAATGACTAAAAATCTTCAAGCCTCAAGCAAACCCTGAGTAATTATTATATGTACACCAGCTACAAGAAGCCTACAAGGAAGCCATAGCACCCAAACGTGCCGGCAAAAGATTACAGTGTTACTTCGCTGCTAGGAGAGCTCGTCTCAGGGGCGCACATGAAAAAAACACTTGGCGGATAGCTGGCATGGCAAAGTTCTCAGCGGCTTACGTCTGGATACGCCTGTACCTGCCAAGTTCTTACTGTCGCCACCTCATCCATAGAACCTAGCCCTAAACTGTAATTCCTCAACCCGCGCGATTGGTTTAACGGCTTGAGTGGCAGAAGCTGTCTTGGCTGGAGAATGAGACGCCGTGCATGTTGCATGAAGCCTTATAGTTCCACTAGCATCATGCGAAACTGGAGTTCGTAAAACGTCCAGGGCTCTCGATGGCGGCAGGATGTGACGGGCCATGTTTATGGTCGAGGTCCTTCGAGTCGCTAGTCAAACTGTTTCGATGAACCCTATAATATACACATACATAGCACTCATATCGCCCTCTTGATCCATGCCCCAGACGCTGCCAGGCCACTCTTGGTAGCACTGACCCTGCGACCCTCGGCAAGTTGGATGCTGCGGCTACCCTTCTGCAGGCCCGCCTGAGCCCGGTCCTGGTGGTCGTTTGAGTTAGAGTTTCTTTCGGCCGATTCTTACCCTCATCGTCATCTTGGACTTGACAACGTCGGTATAGTGTTCTAGAAGGTTCCCCTATGATGTCGGGAAATGTTGGTCAAGGAGCAGCAAGATTCACAAGACTACCATGCGTCCGAACATGAGGACAATGTCCTATACTATAAAGTCGCTTGAAGCTTGCAGTATGTGAGGCGTCTTAAGTTGAGAATACAGCATCGATTCCGGCTTGCCGCCGATGTAAAGAACCTCTACACCAATAAGTTTGGGTTCAGAGGGCCATACTGTCCTGCTTTCTAATCATTAGATTCCAATCATCTTGGACAATGAAGCCTTATTTGACTAAATTCCGAAACAAATCCGGGACCCTAAGCCCGAATCCGAAATCCCAGACTCGAAACTGCAGAGCCTTACACCCAAGAGAGGCAAGAGCAAACTTCATCCTCTCCAGGCGCAGGGACGGTTCACGGAGTCGGAGGAATTCTTTTCCCAGGCACAGAACCGTGAGCAGAGTCTTCGAAGCCTTGGAAATTGGCAAATAGGGGCCCCCTGAAGCCCTAAACACTACTCTAACTACAAAGGCCACTATACTGAAGATACTTGTGTTAGATCTCTGCCACCACCACAGGAGCCTAGACATTGCGCAGGGAAGTGCAAGGAATGATGCTTGTATGGCACCCACCCTCATATAGGGGCCTCAATAATTAGANNGGGGGTATCTTATATTATACGCATTATAAGGAACCCCCCCAATAATGGTATTTCTATTCTATTCAGGGACCTTGGAGCCGCGTGCGGCGCGTCCCAAATGGTAATGGTAATTATTTGGACCCCTAAAATATGCACCCCAAGCTTCGATGAAGCCCTAGAGCCCAAGCCTGCGCACAAACCCTAAACCCTA